CCGCGCCCGGCCTACAGATCTACTTTCAATGTGACAGAAATTTGTCAAGATATTGAAAAGATCAGAGTTCCAAACAAATGTGGCAAAGCTCCCAGTAAAGCATTTGAAGGCCAAGTCCTACCTCTATTGAAAGGTACTTACAAAGGCTACATAGGGCAGTACCCAGAGGTGCTGAAAAAGCGTGGCTGAGATTTGCTAATGACATTTCCTCAAGGGGACAGGGAAGAGCCTCCATAGAGTCTCAGGTGTTCACAGGTCCATCCCAGAGAAACCTTCTCTTTCTAGAACAGGCCTCCCAAACAGACTTTTTGTTACTCTAAGAGATCCTGGTGATGTTTCACAAATGTACTCTCCTGGGCTAACGATAACAGCCTAACACTCTAATTGAATTAACAGTGTAAGTTTTCCCTTAAAAGAACAAGCTGGAGAACCTCATCATTAGGGCCCCAAAACTGACAAACATTCCAGGTTAGGACAGCTTCCATTCTGAAGGGAGAATAAGGCTGAGAAATATTTGACAACTCCCACAGGCAGAAAAGCTCTCTGGGTGTGTTTAGAATAAACACCTCACCTAGCAATCCTCAGCCACACATCTTTTTATTCACAGAGGCTTAGGGAAAAACTGCTTTTAATTTCATACCTGAGTGCTCTTAGGGGATGCACCATCAGCGCGATACAGACTCCTTTGCAAACCTTCAAAACTACTTAATCTTTATAATTCTAAGGAGATCTATATTCTTTAGTCAATTTAACGTAAGGATCCTAAGGGTTCGGTTTATTACATCTCTTAGCAAGATAGAAATAAATTGGAAATTAACTAGAGATGATTGTTACATGATTATTCCTGTCTTTAAAAATGACTTTTGGTTATCCCAAAACCATATAAAAAGTCTAGTTCCCCCTCCCAGATTTCAGTAAGATCAAGTAGCAGGAAGAGAGAATGCTAGGCCTGGGAGATTAAAAACACAGTTTCAGCTGTGAGCAAGGAGGACTCAACAGAAATGTCTCTCTGTAAATATAAACAATACTTGAAGCTTCCTTTCCAAAAACATTTGCCTCAGCTGACCTTGGGACATATTTCCCTGGCCTAGTTATAAAGACCATAGTCTCAAGGGTAAAGCCACTAATCGTCTCTTCCAGCCAGCAGCTTTTCCTGGGCTGGGATCTGTGTCTTTCTTGTCTTTTTCAAAAGAGCAATGACAGACTCATCAGATTTAGAAAACCGAAATTGCTCACAGACAGAAAACGAAAAAAACAGTGACTAGCTAAATGTACTGAGCCTTACCAAGCCTCTCCTCATCTCAGGTCAGGAACTGGGTGGATCCCTGAAATATATATAGTCTTCATTCCCAAACAAACTCAGCAGTCATCCAGCTGTCAAAGAAACAATGGTTTTGCAGGCCCTGCTTATCATGTTTCTGGATTTGCTAAGAAGGACCACTATGAAAAAAAGGAGGAAACATTCAAGCCTGCTCTCTCTCTGCCTCTAAACTATAACACCATCACAATGATTTGTTTTTGTTAAGCTTTCATCTGTATGACAACAGAAAGTGCCAAAGGATCTAGGGTTTCACTCTCATTGTAAAGCACCTTTAGTCTCCCAGGAATCTATTAAACAGAACTCAATTTAATCACACTGACCTCCCCCAACCAGAGCAATGTGGGGGACTAATTCATAATTGATAGAAAAAAGAGTTTCCAAAGACAAAACAAATACAGTACCATATGCAATTCTTTTTAAACATATAGCACTAAGCAGACACAAGTTTCTGCTGTAAGCATTTTCAAAAAGATATGCCAAAGGTTCCCCACAGATCATTTTGAATGGAGGAGTCTTTTAGTCCTCAAAGAGTCCTTAAGTCTCTCTCTTTACTTAATTATAGCTATCACAGAAGAGCTGGCTTCACGTGAAAAATATGGTCTTCGCTAAGCTTTAAAGTTTCTTTCCAAACATGCTGATAGAATCATCCGCAGTCCTAGGAGGTCAATTTGGCTTTGAGCTGCCTCTAAATGATTAAGTGGGAAGAAGGTCAATCTTGCTGTCAGCCGACAGCTGGAGCACTGCAACTGTTTGAAGCAACCCTGGCAAAGAACAAAGCAGCCAGTCGTGACCCTTTCCACCTTAGTGTTTTCTGAAACGATATCCCTCATCTTCCCATATGAAACCATGGGTCACTGGGCACATCAGGCTGTTGCCCAGAAGAGATAATTAGGACCACAAACAAAACTGAGAAGCAGTGGTCATGCCCAGGAGGTCAGGATGTGACTCAGTATCTGTTCCACCAAAATCAAGAACAACTTATGTTACCTAGCAAGGGTGTTCACAGCAGCCTTGTTGGTAATGGCAAGATTAGAAAACATCTAAACAGTCCAGGAACGGAGAGACTGGTCACATACATGATGGTACATGTGACAAAAGACTGTAGGGGCCAACCTATATGTACAGCTAGGAAAGAATCTGTAAGACACACGTCAATGAAAAGTGAGGTGTCTCATAGTATACTACGCCATGCTAACATCTGTGTAAAACAGAAGGGGTTACAATGACTTCGAGTACATGTAAGCACAGACTATCTCAGAAGGATATTCCAGAGACCAGTACTGGTGCTTGTCTCAGGGGAAAGGGAGTGAGAGGGAGGATGGGAAAGAAATTGACCTTTACCTTTACACTTTGTGGGACAATTTGAACTTTTAAAAATCATTCATTCCTTCAATCAGCAAATAATTACTGAGAATCTGCTTTATGCCAGCCCTGTTCTAGGCCCTGGGTAGACAGCAAAGAATAAGACAGACAAGGCCTCTGCTCTCACAGAACTTAAATTCTGATGGAGGAACAGGCAGGCAAACAAAGACAGACCAGTGATGTCAGATACAAAAACAAGGTGTAAGAGTGAGGGGCCACATGGCAATCAGAGCAGCTAGACGGCCAGGGAGGGCAAGGAGGGACATTTAAGCTGAGATCATTCCCTGGTGGGATAAAGAATATAAATAAATGAGTCATGTTACAACAACAAAAACAAACCTAAGACCTGTAATGAAAGGGAAAGCCTAAAACCAATGTCTCAAATAATTCTTAATTCCAAGCAATACGTCAACACCAAGCAACCAAACAAGTTACCTGAGTAACACTAGGAGTAAAAACATGGAGATAACTTTCTCTTTTTTCTTTTTCTTCTCGGGACAGGGTCTCACTCTGGGTGACAGTCAGGGGTCAGGGTCACCCAGAGTGACACCCTGTCTCATTTTTGCATTTTTAGTAGAGACAAGATTTCACCATTTTGGCCACACTGATCTCGAACTCCTGGCTTCAAGTGATCTGCCCACCTTGACCTCCCAAAATACTGGGATTATAGGTGTGAGCCACTGCACCCAGCCCCTCCTTTCTTAATCTTATTATGCTTAATATTTGAGTAGAAAAAAATAATAATAGTCTAAGGTCCATAGTACTAGGTTGTTAGTATTCATTGAGATGGATGTTTAATCTCAGCAGAAGCCAAGTGACAGGGAAGTAGATAAGAGGAGGTAATTATCCATCCAAGATGATTTATTGATCAGCAAAATGATTCTTGAACTTGAACCATGGTTTTTAATGACTTGCTCTGTCTTTTTCAGAACAAGACTAACCCATTGTGTTTTAGGAGTTTAAATAAAGACCGAGCTGTATTCAGTGTCGTTTATGAGTAAAATTTCAAGGAACACTTAAGTAATTTTCTATTTTTTAATTTTTTATTACTCTTAGAAAAAGTTATCTCAGTTAGCCAGGCATGATGGCACATGCCTGTGGTCCCAGCTACTTGTGAGGCAGGAGAATCATCAGCCTGGGAGACAGAGTGAGATTGTGTCTCCAGAAAAAAAAAAAAAAAAAAAAAATTAAGGAAAGGGTAGGGGCAGGTCCAGCCTTATGCCTCATTTCAAGTTCTTAGTGGTCAGTGACCTTTCCACAATAGAAACAATGTGTGACAGAACCATCCCCTCTGTTTCCTGGGTCAACTCTGTGAATCTTCACGCCACAGTCACTTTCACCCACACCTGCAGTTGCAGATCTAGGGCAGGGAACCAGAATTCTCACGCGGGCATGCTGCACTCACTTGGTCGGAGCAGGCACTGTGAATCACAGGCTGATTGGCAAGGCACAGCAAAGACTCCACCATTTCCAGCTCCTGCTGGTAAAAGCTCTGCACTCTGTTCTCCATGAGGAATTCTTTGGCTTTTTCACTCAGCAAACTCGTGAGACTGGGGAGGTCCAGGGCGCCTGGATTGCTGCGGAGGGAAAGTATTAAAGAGCTCTGCAGAAAACCATCACCTTTGTTCCTTTTTGGTGTATAAAAAACAGAAAGTTAGCTAGAAAATGCAACACTATATTGGGGTTTGTTTTTCATACAGAGTAATTCATACAGTGAACATTATGTGGTTGTTTAAAATGATGAGGCAGAACTACAGGAACTAAGATATTCATGACAGATTAGGAGAAAAAAAGTCAAACTGCAAAACAGCATGTAAGGTATGGTCCTATTTTTATAAAAAAACAAATGGAAACCCACTAAATCTATGGGTGAATATTCACGCTTGTGTAAGCACAGAAGAAACTAATTTAAAAAGACACACATTGGCTCATGAACATCGGTAATCTCTAGGGAATGGTGCTGAGCAGGAAAGCGGAGACAGGAAAATGGAGAATTTTCACTTTTTATAATAGTTGTGCTTTTAATATACTTTTTTGAATAGATAATATATTCACGTTAAAAAACATTAAAAGATAAGCAGTGAAGTCTCCTTTCTATCCCCTTCCTGTTCTATCCTTCGGTCCCCACCCCCCAGGGAGCTGCTGTTACTGGTTCTCTGTGTCTCCTCTCAGAGTTCTTTTATGCATGCATTAGCAAATATGCACACAGTCTCATTCCTCCTGGGTTGTTTTTCTCCCATATAAAAAAGTAAAATCATCCCTGGTTGAGAATGACTGGTGTAGGTTTTTTTAGAACAGGTTTTTGATTATGACATGCTATGGTATCATATTTTGATTATGAGGTGACTTGCTACAGTTTTCTTCAGGTTTCTTGCCTTGGAGTTCATTAAGCTTCCTGAATCTGTGAGTTTAAAGTTCTTATCAAACTTGGAAAAATGTCAGGCATTATTATTTCTTCAAAGTGTTTTTCTCTGCTCCTGCCTCCACTCCTTCAGTGACTCCAATTACACACATAATTTCCTCACAACCACCGTAGGACAACTGTGCTATTATTCTCTTCATGTTACAGTAGAGGAAATTGAAGCACAGAGCGGGTTAGAGGGCTTGCTCAGAGCTCCACAGTGCGTAGGTGGATGATTCGGAATTTGAACCCAGGCCGACCCCAGCATCTGGGCTCCCGCTGCTTCGCTTTCCTGCCGTAGTCACGTGCTCAGCAGTGATAAGGCACCACTTACCTTAGTGCTTCTTCTTTCTCTAGGGCTGAGCTGCGAAAAGGCTGGTCATAAACTTTCCTGTAGATAGTGGGCAGCTCAAGCATCCTTGCAATTTGAATGTTCCACACTGGGTCGTCCACTTTATCTAACAAGTGACCAGAAAAAAGATGCCACAGAAATTGCAAATTACATTGAGATCAGTTCTTTCCCAGGCCCAAACTCCTGCTAGGACAACAGTAAATGAGGTGCTGGGTGGGCCTTCTTCCTTGTGAGTGCCCAGGGATCACAGTCTAGATGCACTAAATAGCTCCCAGTCATCCTGCATGAGGGAATGCGATGCCCTAAGTGTCATGGGCTTGGCCAGGGCCAAGGAACCAGGAAAGCACATCAATGTATTGATTCGTCTCTTCCTCTGGTGGACAGCAGGGGTTGTCCTTGAGATTTCCAACTGAAAACCAGCTAGCACAGTGCAAAGGGGAGATGATGGGGAACTGTCATATTTCTGATTAGCTGTATTCATTTCAAGTTAATGGACTTAATAGTGTTCAAGAAATTTCTGGCCAGGCACAGTGGCGCACAGCTGTAATCCCAGCACTCTGGGAGGCTGAGGTAGGCAGATCTCTTGAGCTCAGGAGTTTGAGACCAGCCTGGGCTACATGGCGAAATCCCATCTCTATAAAAAATTAGCTGGCTGTGGTGGCGCATGCCTGTAGTTCCGGCTACTCAGAAGGCTGAGGTGGGAGAATCTCCTGAGCCCAGGAATTTGAGGTTGCAGTGAGCTGTGACTGTGCCACTGCATTACAGCCTGGGCAGTAGTGTGAGACCCTGTCTCAAAAAAAGAAAAATAAATAAAGAAAAAATTTAAAACTTTCCATTATTTTGAAGAATGTTCATATTCTGCCCTAATGCACTGACGTTCTGAACTTGAAAGTGCTTTGGAAACTCTACTATGTCATCCAAATAAACTTGCCAACCATATATAAAGTAAATAACTCATTTTCTTTCCCAAATTATAATTAGCTGTCTTCAAAATAAAATTAAGAAATGCTAATTTTCTAAAGAAAGCATGTTAAACAATGTAATTCACTCATTAAATAGAGTTATATCTTAACTGAACTTTTTGAAAGTTTGACTTCCAGCTGAACAAGAGGTTTACTGGATGCACATCCAGAAAAACCACCAATTTGGTAGAAATATCTTGTGCTTACAGTAAGCGGTGGCATGAATCTCTCGCTCTTCTCTGTATGTACGGATACTGCCTCTGACTCGGATCGTGTCCCCAATCTCTATCTTTGTTCTCCGCTCAATGGTTTCTTGTAGCTTCTTAAGTTGCGAGGTTAAGCTGAGCTCTCTTGCTGCCCTTGGAGCAGCTGTAGTTGTTTAGAGCCAGAGGGAAAGAGAAAAAGTTATAACATAATCACTCTACCACATCTATGAGACAGTTTTAGGGTAAGACCAACACAATATGCTTATTTATTCTACTTCTGAGTAATTCTTCTACTGCTGGAAATCCACATAACCTTTTGGAGTCTTCCACTGAGAAAAAGGTATAAACTGTAATTATTCAAGAGTGGGGTGAAGGGAATAGAGTCTAGACTGAGGTCCAGAGGGCAAGTTCCAACAGACTCCAGGGCCTTCTTTCCTGCCCTGCATCGCCAGTGCAGTCAAAGGGCACTGCATGGCCTTGAGACGAATTCTGTACAATGAGTTCAGCTAGGCGTGGTAGCAATAGCTTTAAACAACCTTTCAAATGTCCTTGTGAGGAGACTTGTCCCACCTGAGTGCTCAACATCCCAATTTCTCACCTCTCATCTCTGTTGGGAAACTAGGCTAATCTCTCTGTCTCTCTCTCAAACACACACACACACGCACACTCACACTTTCTCTCTCTCTCTCTGTCACCACTTAAAACTATAAACTTGAGCAACTTCATGATGAAGAAAACCCAATGTACACTCAATTCTAAATAACTTCTATCACTATTTTACTTCCAAATTGTATTAAGAAGAATTGTCACGAATATCTGGATACTACAGGTGCTGCTCTAAGGACTTTACAATGTATTAGCACATTTAGTTCTCGCAACCACTCCTGCTTATTATTAGCCCCATTTTAGAGATAAGGAAACTGAGTCACAGAGAGGTCAAGCAACTTGCCCAAAGTAAAACAGCTAGTTAGAGACAAGGCTGGGGTTTGAACCCAGGCAGTCTCTAGCTCCAGAGCCATCCCACTTATCCCTTACTCTCTGCTGCCTGCCCCAAGAAGATACTCACATTTCCCAGTTACAGCTGGTGGGTGCAAAATACTGTGTGTTCTGTTTTCTTCTAGCATAATTTCAAATACACATAGGTATCCAAAGAAGCTACACAGCCAAGCATTTTATGTTTATTAGAGACGGGGTCTTGCTATGTTGCCCAGGCTGGAATTGAACTCCTGGCCTCAAGTGATCCTCCCACCTCAGTCTCTTAAGTAGCTGGGATTATAGGTACAGTTTTATAATTTTTTACTTTGGTTTTTTTTCACTAGCACTGTATAAGGACAGTACAGCTTAGCCATTGGCATTTGGCTATTGGAGTCGGAAATGAATCTCAGTTTACCTCCTACTAGCTGTGTAACCTTGGACAGGCTGCTTAACCTGCTTCACCTCACTGTGCCTCAGTTTCCTTTCTACTCTTATACTTCAGTTTCCTCAATTATGAAATGGAGGTAACAGTAGAGTCTACCTCATACACAGAGTTGTTGTGCATGATCTAATTGAATACTTACATTCTGCACTTAGCACAGTTCCATATTTATAGGAAATAATTAAACGTAAGCTATTTGTGATGATGAATAATTAAACCTTCTAGAAAAAGTATCTTGTGTTTTGGGGGTCTTTCGTTAGAGACTATTACTGGATAAAAAATTACAAACTGGTTTACAGTTCATTACATACTGTCAGAATGCTTGCCAGAATAAACTGATCAAACCCCTGCTTTAGACAACGTCGTCAGCAATGCATGCATGCTCACAACTCCTACACCAGCTTCAGTCATTTGGATTTTTAATACCTTAACAAATACATAATTATTCCATACATCTTATTTTGCTTTTAAATTGCAAAAGAGGCTGTTTTTATACAAGATGATCTACTCTCTGTATTTCTTCATAGAGAAGCCCTTCATCAAAATCAACCTAATACAATTTTGACAACTGTGGCTCTGTAACATGCAGAGACATTAATTTTCCTTGAACACACCTACTATACCCAGGGAAACAGCAACGTAGGGAGCACAGAGAACTCTGTGCATTCAGTAAGTGATAGGTAGGAACCTGGATGCAATCAGCATTACTGCTGCTCAGAGCTTACTAGGTTTCTTCAAAAAATTCCCAACTGCTACTTTTTCAAAAGGCTGTCCCATCTGCATCCCTATCCCCAGGTCCTCTTCTACATAGGCTGAATTTTAAAGGTATTTATACATCTCATTGCCATTATGCAGACATTATAGGTGATAGTAAATGCTTCACGTAGCACCACTGAAATGGTCGGACTGATGGTTGTCCTGAGAACAAGAGGCCCACCTTTCACTTAAAGGGTGAGCCAAATTGCCGAAAGGAGGTTCAAGCTGTGGAATTTAATGAATATAATGAGAAGACTGGAGCCCGACAGAACTTCACTTTCAGCGTCTATTCCATCATGAAAGAGAAATCCCCTTTAACATTCTAATACTCAGGGCCAGGAAATCTTAACTTTGCTCATAGGCCAAGTCCAAACGGTACATTCAATTGACATTTATAGGAGCTAATATTATATTCTTTCACTTTAATGGACTGGAACACGATTTTGACTCAGACTAAATTTTGTTTAAAAAATTAGTCTTTGCTGGCCACCTTCCAATGGAAAGCTTTTAAACTAAGGGCAATTAAATAAAAAGGACAGAATGGGCTAGTTGGGAACAATTTAAAGACGATGAGGATCATTTTTAGGTTTTCTCCTTTTCTCCTTGTACTCTTACCTTCTCGTTATATTTGCAAAGCAATCTTAAATTAAGGCTACCCACTGTGATTGTTCATTCATTTATCTACTTATTGATATTTTAAAAATCTGACTCTCAGTATTAATAGCCATTTTGTTGATCTAAAAAATTACTAAGTATAAGAATTATATATTCCTGATGATGCTATTTCTTTAAAAAGAGTTAATTTTGAAAACTGAAACAATGACTAAAACAGGGGTCTCCAAACTATAGCCCATGAACCAAATCCATCGACAGCCTGTTTTTAAAAATAAAGTTTTATTGGAACACAGCCTGCCCATCTGCTTATGTACTGCCTGTGGTTACTTTCCGCTATAATGGCAGCATTGAATAGTAGAGACACACAGATCATAGGGTGCACAAAGCAGAAAATATGGCCCTTTACAGAAAAACTTCGCTGACTCTCCATCTAGAACAAGTACGCATATTCAAACTACACCTTCTGACTGAAGATTGTGACAACAACCAAAAATCTGCAAATGATTTTAATACTGCTACAGTTTGATAAAAACAAGTTTGAATGTTTTTGTCCCCTCAAAATCTCATGTGTTAGAAATTTCACCCCTAATGCAACAGTGTTGGAAGATGGGGTCCAACAGGAGGTGTTTAGGTTATGAGAGCTCCACTCTCGTGAATGAAGGCCACTATAAAATGGGTTTGCAGAAGTGGTTCTCATTCTCGTGCTCTTCTGCCATGTGAGGAACAGTTCTCCTCCCTCTGGAGGATGCAGCATTCAAGGCTGCATCTTGGAGGGGGCACCTGGACCTTACCAGACACCAAAACTTTGATCTTGGAATTTCTGACCTTCAGAATTATGAGAAATAAATTTCTTCCTTTATAAAATCACCCAGTCTCAGGTATTCTGTAACAGCAGCACAAAACAGATTAAGAAAAACACCTCAGACATACATAAAAATCCAGATACCTGATTGTCTCACAGGTTTATTTCTTGCCTATCAGATATCTGCCTAAAAACATGTGGTCTCCCTTAAATCTACCTACAAACCTTCCTCACCAAAGCAATGCCATTGATTTAGATGTTCCCAAATTAGGGATTAGAATTCCAAAGTTACATGGAACTGACGGCCAAATTCTAAATGTAAATACATCAGAAAATTAAGCAAATGAGCATTCCATTGATCGGTACAGTCAAAGTACAAAGCTGAGATTCTGACACATTACGGCAAAAAAGAAGAAATGACCCCAAGCATTAGATATTCTTATCATATATAATGCAAGTAGACAGATACTAGATGCTAGATATTAGAGCAGACAGTGTTTACTGAATAACCCCACTGTGTATGGCACTATACTGTATATGTTGTAAAACACAGAAAAAACAAGCTTCCAGTTTTCGTAGCTTCTCTAGAACCAAAAACCATCACCAATATTGCATGATATTCTTTCATATTATGAACTTAACTTTAAAAAGTATCTAAAAATTGGGCCAGGTGTGGTGGCTCAAGCCTGTAATCCTAGCACTTTGGGAGGCTGTGGCAGGAGGATCACTTGTGTCCAGGAGTTTGAGACCAGCCCTGGCAACATAGTGAGAACCTGTCTTTAAAAAAAAAAAAAAAAAAGTATCTAAAAATTATGAAAATATATTCAAGCAACACCAAATGTTTCAGTTATAGTCAATGTGTTCACTATACAATTTTAAAGTTCTTTTAATTTATATTACTTACTGGATAACTTCCAAAGGAATCCTATCTTACCTTCTCAATCTTAGAATTCCTGGTATTATTTGTTTGAACACAGAGATTTCAAGAAATCTGGACCATGGCAGCACAGAAGTTAGTGGCAACCATGTGAGAGAAATAGTCATCAAAATGTTCTTTGGTCAAGTGATATGGCTGGGACAAGGGGAATCAGACTTGGCTAGCAATTAGGCTAAGACGCCTTGACTTATGTAATAACAGGCATGGTAAAAATGAACTGCTGAAACTCCCTGTAACCTACTCACATTCTTGTAGGCTTAGGAAGAAGTGAGCACCAAAGAGATGGGAGAAAGAAAAGCAAGTGGCTTTCCTATGGCATCAGTTTTCAGAGCAGCCAAAGCTCTCGGTATAGTGCTTCAGGTAGATCAGTGTAACTCACCAGCAGATAAATGTGAAAATTTAGTCCTGTAGCTGTTTTGATGAACTACATTGAGTAAAATCCATTAGTTAGGTGAAAAGTAAAGGAATGTGGCAAATAAAATTACCTGACACGGACTCAGTATTCAACTTTTTCCAGCAGATGCAGTTTATAACTCCAGTGCTGTCATCCACTGCAAGAGAAAAGTAAAAGGGTAGAAGAGAGATTTGGGCAAGGCTGGTGAATTAGCATACTGTCATTGCATTCAGCCATACTGAAAGATGACCTCTTTCAATAGCCTGGAGAAGCAAATCCCTTATCAAACTCTCCTTCCACTTTTGAAACAACCTCTCACTGTATATGAGTATAAACTGCTTGTCTGCACAACTCAATGTAATACACAAGCCCAATGGGATATGGTCAGCATTTCACTTATCCTACCTCAAGGTACTAATGATTAGTACCCTCAAGGGTACCCTCATGATGCTTGTCTACACCTCTGTACTAAAAATGGTGGCCTTGGGAAGTTAAGTGCAAAAACTGAATTACTGCTCACATACAAAATCAGCCTTTCTCTCCCACCCTGAAACAAGAGAGCATCGTGTGGTTTGTGGTTAGAGGCACACGCACTTAGGGTGCAGCCTTCTGTCACAGCCTCTTTGCTAGCGTGCTGACTTACCAAGACAAAGCGTTCCAAGTCATTTGGCCTGGGTTTCTCTTTGTGAAAGATCTTTTGCCCAGTCCTCACCACTGCAGGGGATGTAAGGAAAGCCAAGCACATCACAGAAGGGTACCGTTTTATTTTCATAATAGAAAATAATTATATCCTGGCCACAAAAACAGTACTAGTCTGGCTTATGTTATTCCTGGTTTATCTAATTTTTGCAAAAAATCAAACAATTCCCATTGCAGTTATATTTACAACTATAGAGGAATTTGGAGATGTTTGCTAGGGAATAACAGGCATTTCTCTTTGCTTAATTTCTGACAAACTCAAACAGAGGTTGCTAAGCATGGGGTTAGTGGGTCTTATAATTAAAAAAAAAAAAAATCATCAACTAGACTGTTGTAAAAGCACACATAATCCTGAAGAAATCTAAGGCAAAATTTTTTACTGCTGGCCTAAATCCACGCTGAAGAAAAAGCCAAAAAGAGTACTTCCTATACTAAAATAAATCCTAGATGGGTTTCATTTCATTAAATACAAAAGAGGTAAACTTAAGATGAGAAAAAGATATGGGTGAATACCTTTAACCCCGCGTTTATAGTGGGTGAGGAGAGACTTCTTTAAGCAGACTCTTAAAATCAGAACTCATTAAAGAAGTCTGGTAAGTCTGACCACCTAAAAACTAATACTGGAGAGCAATATTCCAAATGATAGGGTCAATGATTTAATATAGGAAGAGCTCATAGGCTGGACATGGTAGATCATGCCTATAATTCCAGCACTTTGGGAAGCCAAGGCAGGAGGATCACTTGAGCCCAGGAGTTTGAGACCGGCCTGGGCAACACAGCGAGACTCCATCTCTACCAAAAAAAAATTTAAAATTAGCCAGGCATGGTGGTATGTGCCTGTAGTCCCAACTACTTGGGAGGCTGAGGGGGGAGAATTGCTTGAGCCCAGGAGTTTAAGGCTGCAGTGAGCCATGATCATGCCACTGCACTCCAGCCTGGGCAACAGAATGAAATCCTGTTTCAAAAAATAAAAAATAAATAAAGAGCTCATATAAACTAATAAGAAAAAGATCAAGATCACAAGAGAAAAAGTGGCAAAGAAAAGAATATGTGATTCATGGAAGATCTATAAATGGCCAATAAAAACACGTCACGACGCTAAGTTCACTAGTTACCACTAAAAAAAGCAAGTATAAATAATTTATCAACAATGAAATTGACAAATATTAAAAATATTGATACCCTCATATGTTGATAGTGGGAGTATAAATTAGTAACAAATTTCTAAAATTTAAATCTTAACGAGCAAGTTTGGAAACATGCATCGGATTGTGAAATGTAAGCCAGGTGCGGTGGCACATGCCTGCTACTCAGGATGCTGAGGCAGGATTGCTTGAGTCCAAGAGTTTGAGGCTGCAGTGTGCTACGATTGTGCCGGTGATAGCCACTGCACTCCAGCCTGCGCAACACTGTGAGAACCTGCCTCTCAAAGTTGTTTTTAAATGTACATATCTTTTGACTTAACAATTACTTCCAGATAAAACAAAAATAAGTACACAGATACACACATCTTATGTAAGGCTGTTCACTGTAGTATTCTTTATAATACTGACACTTGGAAATACCTAAATGTTTATAAATATGGTTAAAAAAATTACAATGACGTACTATATGAGAATAAAAAGATATACACGGCTCATTGTAAAACAGAAATATATAATCCAATTTATGTGCAACATTAAACAGTGTATTTTCACAGAAATGATTTTAAGACATTAAATACTAACAGCAGTATTGGAGTGTGGGGAAGGAACCCCACATTCAACGTATACGTTGACTGTTAAGCCTAATTTCAGAAACACTGAGAAAGAAACATGCACAATAGTACTAAGGAAACAGGCATTTCTATATTTCTTTGATACTGGGAACATGTTTAGAATGAGGAAGGATGTTCACCCAAACACTGACATTGTTTTGCCTGATTTATAGTGTTTCACATGATTTTTATATACTTCATTAAAATTGTCTCTAGTTTGAAATTTTATTTTATAATGAGGAAGCACCATTTTAAGAATCCAAAAAATGAATAAGGACATTTTGCGTTAAAAAAATGCATGACACTTTCAGGCACACCACTTCTCTGCAGTTGAAAACTTGATTTATAATAGAAAGCTAAAAAAAAAAAAAAAAAAATAGCAGGCCAGGAGCAGTGGCTCATGCCTGTAATCCCAGCACTTTGGGAGGCCGAGGTGGGCAGATCACTGGAGGCCAGGAGTTCGAGACAAGCCTGGCCAACATGGTAAAACCACGTCTCCACTAAAAATACAAAACTTAGCTGGGCATGGTAGTAAGCACCTGTAGTCCCAGCTACTTGGAAGGCTGAGGCAGGAGAATCACTTGAACCCGGGAGGAGGGGGTTGCAGTGAGCCAAGATCACACCACTGCACTCCAGCCTGAACCACAAAAAAAAAAAAAAAAAAAAATTAGCACATGAACATTTGTCCTAGAGAATGTGAGGTTATTCTGTTCTTGACTGTAGCCTTCCAACATTCTAGGTCTAAGCTTGAGTTGCTTCAAGTGTTCTGTGCACTCTGGGCACTGTCACCAATCCCTGGACTAACCAGGTTTGCGATCTCTCCCAGCAGACCGAGTGCCTTGGTGCCCAGAGGTCTGGCTGCTGGAATGCCCCTGAATGGAGGCACCCTTGCAGTGCTGCACAACGTACTCCACAGCTACACAGCACCGCCTGGGCCACTGGCCTTTTGTTTCAGCTGCAGGATGAGTCAGTGTGAGCAGGAAGCACCCCCAGCACAGGCCTGCGGTGAGTCAAGGGAAGCAGAACCCAGACCAGCAGGGAGTGGCCACCTGGCAGGTGGCCCAAAAGCCATGTTCTGCCTGAGGACAGCAAGGAGAGGGGCAGCTCTCCACAATAATTAAAGTTGCAAAAGCCTCTCTACTCTCAATAATTTCAGCAGTCAGATGCTTTTTATTTTCCCGAAGCCCACAGATATGTCATGCTCCTCAGACACTCACTCAGAGGGAAATGCTTACTGGAGAAGAGGCAATCATAGTGCCTTAATCTTTTTATAATGGGAAAAGGGGTTAAGTGAAGCTCCTTTAGGCGCAGGCTTAATATCTAGCCTGGTTCTAGAGCCAGGATTTTAAAGTCCTCAAACAGCCTCATTTATTTGATCTGAAAAACAGAAAACTAAAAATCAAATGCAGTTATTTATTTATTTATTTTTTGGTGAGTGGGGGATGGAAGAAAGAAAGAGGAGAGAAAAATCAAACTGAGTTATATGGAGACCACTGAACACACTGGAGTCAGTAAACAGAATGGACCCACAAATCTCCATCAGTGGAATCCTGAGCAAGTTACTAAGCCTTAGTTTTCTCATCTACAAAATGAGTACCTGTACTTTCTATTTCAAAAGACTAGGGGTAGAATAATATGAAATCATGCATATAAAAGTGCTTTGCAAATTGAAAGACGCTATTATTTCCTCGTTGGCATTTGGAGAGGAAGCACTCTACTATACTACAGTGTACTGCCCACAGCTGGATACACTGTAGGAACTTAGTAAATATTTGTTGAGTTGTCTGGAGAAAAACAGGACCAATATCTTTGGCAAAATAAAGCAGAGAAGAGATTCAGTTTGGGAATGTCTGACAATGTGATCCTTTTCAGAATTAAAAACAAAAAAATTATACATATACACAAACACACACACACACACACACACGCTGGGAAAATGCAGAAAAAATGAGAGCTTTTATTTTTCACATTATTTTATTAAAAGCACAAGATAATACTCTTCAGGAAAATGAGTACATGTAAAGAAATGTAATGAGATTGTATCTACAAATTATCAATCATGCAGGGACTGCCAATGAAATGCTCTTGTTCACAAAGTTCAACTGCTTTCTATCTTTCCTCAAGAAGAGTAAGAATACAAATCCAAGGCATAGCACAAAAAGTGACGTCAATTTCAGCAAAGATATGGAATTTAAAGTTAAGTTTTCCACAAAATATCTAGCTTGGGCTCTTGACTACAGAGAAGCTTGGAGTTGTACAAGGCAATGTCTTAAACGCTTAAAAATCAACTCAATGAAAAAATAAGGACCTATTACACTAAAATCACAAGTGAGCAATTCTCTAGTGTCCATAATATAGAAACCCTTTATTAAGCTTCCGTCATCATGAGGGAAAATAAACTTTCTGATAATGGATAGTTATCCCTTTGAGTATCAAAAGGCTTTTTGTTAACTGTTTTAGATATAAAGATTTTAAAATTATTTTTCACACCTTCCTGTGTTGTTAAAGAATCTACTTTAACATTAATCTGGTCGTTGCTTTTTAAAGTGATCCACATAACCATATATTACCACCCTTTGCTATTTACAGATATACCCTTGGGCATCAGGTACCCGCCCCACCGCGCCCTGTCCATCGGTGCTCCTAGGGGGCTGCATTTTAATTCTTCCACGTCCTAGTGCCTCAGCAGCTGTCACCTCACTGAATTCATCAGTATCATTCCTATCCGTTGCCTCATTTTATTCTTAGCCCATGTCTGGGGCTATAAGGGGTACCCCATAGAGAAAGTACATGCCCTTAGTGAGGGTCCCCAGCTACTCTAAACGGCTAGGGCTGCTAAAATCCAACTTTCAGCCCAGAAGGGTCAGCCTTCTACATCAACTTCATTTCAGACACAATTGTTCTTACCTCCATAACTGTAGAAAGCATCTCTTTCTCTCACTCCAACGACGGTTCCCAAGACATCTACCTGTTTTATTGGATGTCCATTGTACAAAAATACACCTAAAATTTAAAAAAAGCAAAGTCAACATAATGTATGATCACATTTTCTGCTTCATTAAATGTTAACTTGTAGGGGGCAAGGGGTGTAAAAAAAAATCAATGCCATGCTGTTTGCTGAAATTCTAGACTTAAGAATCAGTCCTTGACAAATGACAATGCCCCAAGAAATTTCAATGTCTTTTCCTCACAGGTCCTAAGTAGAAAGCTTGACATTAAAGCTTGTGCTAGTGCAGACGGGAGAAAACCAGTGCTGTCCAACTAGATTTGGTGAATACACCTCTGTGCAGAATGCTCACAAGGGGCCTGAAAACAGTCATTATAGTGGGGGACCAAACACAGGACTATATTTGAAGCAACTAGAAGAAGGAAAGCGAGAGGAAACCATGAGAAAGGCTTATTTGTTTTTTTTTTTTTTTTTTTTTAAACAAGTGCTTTTCTAAGAAATCAGCTGCCATTTCTTTGAACTGGCAATAGCATTTTTTTTTAAAAAAAGACAGTAAGTAGATTACAAAACACTACCCTTTGGGGCCAGGTTACAACTCCAAAACTTCTCTTTTTATAACTCTGTTTTCAAAACCTAGGCTACAGATGGCGGCAGGCAACTTCCTGCCAGCGGAGAAAGCTGAGAGGGAACCTACCCCCTGATACCCAGAGGCTTTCTTCTGGCGTGGGGCCAGGACACAGAGGGGCTGCTCAGAGCAGGGAGTCCCTGATGGTCCCAGGACTGTCCAGGCTCCTGCAGGGTTTCCCTTCTGCCTGTCCCTCAATAACCTGACCCGAGCTCCTTGCTTCACCTTAAGCTGCGTGCACTGTGTTCCTGTCACCTGCAACTAAAGAGTCCTGTCCAATCTCTTTTCCTGCCTCTTCCCCCCACCCCCATGATGGCTAAATTCTTTACTTTCAGAAACAGGTTATAAACTTTTATGTGGTGATGTTCTTTTCCTTTTTTTAAATTAGACATGGGCATCTCACTTTGTTGCCCAGGCTGGTCTTGAACTCCTGGCCTCAAGCGATCCTCCTGCCTTGGTGTCTCAAAGTGCTGGGAGCCACCACACTCGGTCAAGTCTTTTTTAATAAACACATGAATTCTAAACTAAGAAACAATGATCACCTCAGGCATTTGGCCATTCTTCTCCTCACCATGAAGCCTAGTCACAGCCTCTATTTTCTCCATTCATGGGGGGACCTGTGGCCTGAATCCCGATGCCCCTTAGAACGCCCAGACTGGCCTCTGCTGATGGTTGTTTCCCTTGTAGACAAAGGGACTGAGGAAGAGTCCAAAGAATGGACAAAGAGCCTCTAAGCCTCAGTTACAGAGAGATACTAGGGGAGTGAGATGTGGTTTTTAGAAACAAGAGGTGGTAAATTTAGCCACAAGCCAGACCCCCTCCCTCCACAGAGGCATGCTTCTAAAGATAACCTTTCAGCTCAACCTTGCAGGCATGAGCTGAAGATGGCAGGAACAAGGAGGGAAGGAGCCTGGGTCACTGTGTCACCCCCAAAAGAGAGTCACCCCCATCCAGGAAAACTTGAATTGAATGGAGACAAAGTGGTTCCACTGAAAATCCATGTTTTTGCTTGTGATTTTTTAAAAGATTGGGTCTCAGTCTGTTGCCCAAGTGGTATAATCACAGCCTACTGCAGTCTCAACTCCTGGTCTCAAGCAGGAGCCCAACTAATTTTTAAACATTTTTATGGAGGTGGGGGTCTCTCTCTGTTGCCCATGCTGGACTCAAACTCTCAGCCTCCCAAAGCACTAGAATACAGGTGTGAGCCACCGCACCAAGGCCATAAAATTCTAAGATGTAGCCAGTTCCAACCGGCTTCTCCCAAGTTTTCACAATTGAAACCTAGTCTTTTCCATAACACCACTGATGAGATCTTCAGTCCTCTGCCCCTGCCTGCCTGCACTGACCAAACGCAAAAGGACAGGGAGCCTGCAGAGAAGGGAGATCCCTGTGTCCTGTGTAGTCAACGGCAGGCTTCCTTACGGCAGAAGCAAACTTTAAACCAGGAAAATGAACCTCACCCAGGGATGCCAACTCTACTGCCATACACCCCACCACTCTGCCTTGGAATGCCTGTGTGCAGAGCAGGGCTGAGGCATGGTGCTGCTTTGGTGGTCTAGGTTTGCTGCAGGGCCAGGTGGCCTGAGCTCCAGGCTGATCTCTGGCTGCACTCAGCCCTTTCTGCCTCCCCAAATGCTCTGTATCACTATTTGTACACTGAGCAGAGTAAAGTTAGAGAGAACTGTTTTATAGAACAGGGCTGGCCTCTCCCTCCCCTGGCCTATGTGATGATCTATCCTGGCTGCCAAGTACTTGTTTGTATTAGAGATAGACACTCCATAGGGTTTGTTGTGGCCCACAGCACATAGGCAATCACAGGCAGAAAGCAGAGCCCTTTGGACCCACAGAGGGCCAGCTGTCCGCCACCAAAATGTCTTTCCAATTGGTCGAGAAGCAGCAGGATGCTCTGCTGGTGATGTCTGAAAGTCCCAGGATTCTTTGGGTCTCCAAGGAGATCCTAGCATGTACCACTGTCGTGGTTTTAATAAAGAGCAAAAACACTTTCAGATGGGGAAAAGAGTGGAACAAAAGGTATTCTTCCTGGGTTGAAGTCTATGGGAAAGGCATTGAGAAGACTGGGCTAACGGCACAAGCCAATGAAGTCCTCAAGTCACCTCTGATGGAGGCCAGTCATCCAATGCTACAAACTTTTGTGTGTGGCAACACTTAATAAAAATCTGAACAGGTCTTCACTTGTGGACACAGTAGACTTTCTTGAAAAAGGACAGAAAAGTGGGTCCTGTGAATTTTCACCTCACAGACTGACAACAATGACTTGCCTTTAAGGACAGACACGGTCACTCAAGATGAAGATGCGACAAAATCTTTCCAGTTCCAAGCGGCTGATGCAAAAAAAAAAAAAAAAAAAAATCTTAAAAGCATCACAGAACAATGGAGAAAAAGATCAGAAGAATTTAACAGACAGTTTGAATTTTAAAACTCAGAGAAAAGCAACTGAGGAGGAAATACACTGCTTAGAAAGAAGAAACTTCTTCAAGTATATAGAAACATGAACTACACGTATCAGATGCACAGCATCTACAAGAAGACAACTGAAGACATGGAAAAAAGAATTAGAGAGCCATTTTCTTCTATCAAAGCAATCTTCTATAAGAAGAGAGCTCAAGAAAATTGGACGGCTGCTCTGTCAACTGAGAGAAAGCTCAATGAACTAAGAAAAAAAAACAGTAACAAATACTAGATAACAGAGTTTATGTTCCAGCCTTTCCCAAGTGGCCCTTGTGTTCCTGCTGTTCCACATGCAGCCCATGGAGGTCTAAAAGCATCAGAGGATCCCCTGGATCATCAGGCCCCCAAGAAGGAGGAGGGTCGAGCTATAAGGGTTCAGGGATCTAGGGTCACAGGCAGGTTGATTCAGATTTCAAGCAGCCAACCCTGAACGTCTGCAACCACAGCAAGACATTTGACTGTTTTCTCTTTTTAAAAGTACTTTTGATTGCTCTCTTTTTAGTTTAATTGCTGTTATTTAATTGATGCTATGTTATTTATGTTTGACAGCATTAAAACACCTAAGATAATCTTTTTCAACCCGATTTAATATAATTCTTACAGATATATTATTTCCACTTCATTGTACCCACTAGAATAGGATAAGTATTATATGCCGATTTAAATAAACAAGTCACTATTATTTAATCCATCATTAAAGTCTGACACAGATAGAGATATTTAAAACAATAAATATGACTTCTGTATGTTATCAGCTATTATTAAAAATACACTTTTTTTTTAGACAGGGTCTTCCTCTATTGCCCAGGCTGGAAGGCAGTGGTACAATCACAGCTTACTGTAGCCTTGGTACTGCTTTTCAAAAATTAGACATGAGGTCTCACTTTGTTGCCCAGGCTGGTCTTGAACTCTGGGCTCAAGTGATCCTCCCACCTTGGCCTCCCAAAGTGCTGGGATTACAGGCATGAGCCACTGTACCTGGGCTACTTTTTTTAAATGCCAAAACAAAAAACAAAAAAAATCCACAAATCTAAATACCACCACAATCAAATTTCACAGTATTTTTCTTAGTTTAAATTCAAATTTTGGGGAGCTGACATTTCGCAATCATTTTGCAATACAATTCTGATGGTAACTACTCAAAGTTAGGTTAAATTTCACAGGTGAAGGGCACAGTCCCCCACAATACTGCCCTCACTTAAGTTATGAGTCCCAAATTTTGTGAGGGTCCTCAGGATATCTGTACTTCTGACCAACTGGTTATAAATTTGGGGGTCCCCAATACTCCCTCAGGTTTGATAATTCGCTTGAATGACTCACAGGCCTCAGAAAGGTGCTATACTTATGATTATAGTTTTATCCATGAAGGATACAAATCAGGGCCAGCCAAACGAAGAAATGCCCAGGGCAGGGTCTGGGAGGGCACAAACACAAAGCTTCTGTGTCCTCGACACATCACCTCCTGATACACCAACACGTGATTATCAGCTAGGGAAGCTCATCTGACCCTCAGTGTCCAGAGTTTTTACTGAGGTCTCATAAGGTAGGCACAATTAACTGAATTACTGACCACATAACTGAACTCAATCTCCAGCCCCACTCCCCTCCCAAAGAGTCAGACTGGTATGATCTGGCTCAAAACCCCAACTCTCTAATCAAACAGATGGTCTTTTGGGCATAGACAGCCCCCATCCCAAACTATCTAGGGATCCAGCATGAACCACCTGATTCGCATAAATTCAAGTGTGGTTAGAGAGGCCACGATGAATAATGATGATGCTCCTGTCACTCAGGAAACTATAATAATTTAGATGTTACCCTTCAGGAACCAACGGCAAAGGTCAGTGAAATTCTTTATCATACAACACATTCATTTCATATTTTATCATTTTTGGGGTTTGTCTTTGTTATTTTGTTTAAGATATTCTTTGCTGTTTAAACAATCCTAAATTTCACATAGTCAAAAGTTTTGTCTTTATAGTAAATGAAATCAGACACAACAACAAAACAAAAACCTAGGAGTGGAATTCCGCACCCCCCAGAACACTATGGTATGGTCTAAAGCAGTGGTCCCCAACCTTTCTGACACCGGTTTTGTGGAAGACAATTTTTCCGAGGATGGGGGTTGGGGGAACGGTTTGGGGATGAAACTGTTCCACCTCAGATCATGAGGCATTAGATTCTCCTAAGGAGTGCGCAACTAGATCTCTCACACGTGCACTTCACAATAAGGTTTGCGCTCCTGTAAGAATGTCATGCCGCTGCTGATGTGACAGGATGTGGGGCTCAGGTAGTAATGCTCACTGGCCAACCACTCACTTCCTGCTGTGCGGCCCAGTTCCTAACTGGCCATGTACCAGTAATGGTCTATGGCCCCAGGGGTTGGGCACCCCAGGTCTAAAAGTATCCACTCTGTCAGTTGATATCTGCTTTAACCATAAGGTTTCATTTTTAAAACACCTTGGAAACATTCTCATCAGTGATAAATCAAAGATTACTGGTCCTGTTTTGTCGGTTTGTTTTCAATACATCATAAAGTCTTTTGCCTACAGGGAGAGTTAAGCCCGTCATGTCCTTGGTACCTGTTTTCTCACCTGCAGAAGATCACTAAGCAAGGAAGCCTAGAATTTGGTGTGAATTAATTTCTTCCTGAAGAGATGAGCTATGAAGAATACCAGACTGGAAAATGGAAAACTGTGGAGGAGGCTGGCTGCCTTCCAAGGGAAAAAAACAGACCATTTCCAACAATAATTAGGAAATAAAGGCGTGGCGAAAAATCTGTACAAAAGTCATTAGCATAAGGTCATCCAAATATATTTGTACATTTAACTGGAAACAAACAAAATCTTATCTCATTAAAACTGTGGATGCTTGAGATTCTTGACTACTTCTAACTCATTGTTTTTTATTCAGAAGGCCCTTGACTGGAAAGCTTCACTCAAAATAGCACAGAAAGTTTAACCAAACTTCTCAAATAGCACAGTAAACACGTGGCTATTTGTGAATTATTAGACAGCTACGTGAATTATTTAAATCCACCCCAAACTATTTGTGAATTATTAGACAGCTACGTGAATTATTTAAATCCACCCCAAACTATTTGTGAATTATTAGACAGCTACGTGAATTATTTAAATCCACCCCAAACTACATTTGTTATATTTTTAGTTATGATAAGCCTATCTCTAGTAGCCACTATTCTAATACAAAAAAAAAAAAAAATTTAAACTTTACATGTATAATGCCTTTCTGCTTCAACAGCTATTTCTATTTGAGGGCGCACTATATGCCAGGCACTGTTCTAAGCCCTGGGATTACACAGGTGAACAAGACAGATGATGTCCTTCCTCTCAGGGAGTTTATAATATTTTGATTCTGCTTAATTCAAAAGAAAACAAACCCCCATTACATATCAGGAATCAAAAGATTCCATTACACAGGGTTAAGCTCCATTTTCACAAAGAAACCCAAACTTTGCAGAAGGTGAGTCACAAGCCCGGGCCAGGTAAGGGGCACATTTAGGAAAGGAGCCAGGCCTAAGAATATCTGGCCCAGCGATCTCTCCAACAGGAGCAGGGCCAAAGAAAAACAAATGAGCATTTTCAAGTATGAAAGACCCTAAATGGAGGTAAAAACCTCAGTACAAATGTTACTCCCCCAAACACCTACTTAAAAAAAAAAAAAAAGATTTAGACTGTTTTTTTACCTTCCAAATAAATGAACTCATGCGAAGGTCCAGGCTAGGTCACTTTCAAAGCCTGCAGCAGGGAAGGCTCTCCTAAAAGCCTCTAATCCCAGCTTTCTGAGACTTTGGGAAAGGGGGGCAGACGCAGCCCAGGGCATCCCAGGGTGGCCAGCCACATACCTGGCACCTGGCGGGACTCCTTCATGTCCAGGATATCCCTGATGTAGAGCTTTGCAAAGGCTAGAAACACAGGATCCAAACCCCACAAGAGGGAAGGGGTCTCCTCTTCACACCGGCTGGATCCAGGCTGCATCAAGAGGCTGGGCTGTGGCTTCCAGCTAACCCTGAAAGTTCTGCATCACTGAGTCAAGCATCTAGACAGGACACAGAAATGAGGATGCAATGCGTTTAACGTGGGTCAAAGTGGCACGGCCCTGACGCTGCTCCTAGGTGGGCGTCCAGGACTCCAGGAGGGGTGAACGCAGGGATCCAGGGCCCTGTCAAACTCCATGTCACGGGGCGTGTTAAGAGGCGTTCCTCGCGTTAAGACGCCTGCATTCCTTACGGCTCTCCCGCTGTTCTCCTTCCCACAAAGCACCAACTCCGGAATGGCTAAACATCAACTTTCACTCTGGGAAGATACGTCCATACAGGCATACAAGAAACCGCTAGGGGTCCCGGGAGGAACGGGCGCCCTCGCAGCCCTGCACGTGTTGGGGCACAGTGGATGGGTCTGATTGTCGCTCTGCCCTAAACTTTCCGCTTTTGGGGATAAGCCAAGAAAAGGACGAAAAATGATACCAAAAAAAATGGACCCACTTGCAGCCCCTCCCGCCGCCTGTAGTTCCAGGAACCCTGAAACTCGGCGCTTCCGGCGCTCCGAGCCGCTGGCGGCGACGGCCCCGCCCGGCGCAAGAGCAGTTGGCTGAGGTCGCCTCTGAAGTTCCGGCCCGAGCCCGCCCCCGGCCCCGCCGGGGACCAACCCCGGTCTCCCCGCCAGCGCATTTCCTTTCTTCTGCAGCGCCTCGCCACGGCTCCTCCCCATCTCTCCCGAAGTCCCGCCCCGTCCCACCCGAAGCCCCGCCTCATCCCGCCGCGGCCCAACCATCCGCTAGCCCCATCAAGCCGAAGCCCCGCCCCGTTCCATACCCAGCCTCAGCGCGGCGTACTTTTGGCTCAGACAGCGCTGCAGCCCCCGCCTTCGTCCTAGCCTCCACCGCTGAGGCCTAGGAGCCGACCTTGAAATTCCTGCAGTTCTGACGCCACCCTTCTAATCACCTTTCACCCCTCCTCCCGCTGGTGGCCTTCTAGAGGTTGGGGCAGGATCAGACTATTTTTCTTTTTGATACCTGATATGTAAAACAGACAAAAAGTAAGCCGTGCCACGAGTGCATTGTGACATATTTTAAATGTTCATTTACAGTTAGCAAGTGACCTGACACACACACTTAGGACTCTGTAGTTTCACTTGGAGATGTCACTATCTAAATTTGAGCCCTCAAGTGAATGTGAGGTCTTGACTCTGCCAGAGACTAGCCGTGCAAAATCATGACAATACATTTTGTCTCCTTTCCCCTTGTTCGGTCTACAGTCTGGAAGGTTGTGCACTTAAGAACTTTGAAAAGCTGGCATTTTGGTAAATCATGGCTACCTTGATGGTGCTTAGCCTCCAGAATTTACATTTTAAAGTGAGGAAAGAGAGCCACGTTCCACTCCCATAAAGAGCTACGTTACTCGAGACATCAGGAATTCTTCCTAATTTACAGAGACTCTGGAAAATGGCAGGGGAGTACAGATCACCCTGGCAGACCATTCCCGGGGGAGGCAGGTAGTGGCCAAAGAGATAATTGCTAAACTATTTATCAGAGAAGGAACTTGGAGCCGCTAGAATGGAAAATGTGTGTGTCATTAGACCCATGGGATTTAATTACCTCCCCGGCCATTTAAGAAGCTCAAAAAAGAGTCCTTGGTAAAATACGTTGCCCAGATTCTACTGCAATGAACAGTAGGGGATGTAGGGTTTAAGATTCAATAAGAGAAGACACCGGCTGGTCGCAGTGGCTCAAGCCTTTGTGAGGCCGAGGCGGGCGGATCACGAGGTCAGGAGTTCAAGACCAGGCTGGCCAACATACGGAAACCCACCCTGTCTTTACTAAAAGTACAAAAATTAGCCGACTGTGGTGGTGTGTGCCTGCAATCCCAGCTACTCGGGAGGCTGAGGCAGGAGAATCGCGTGAACCTGGGAGACAGCGGTTGCAATGAGCTGAGATTGGGCCATTGCACTCCAGCCCAGGCGACAGTGTGAGACTCCGCCTCAGAGAGAGAGAGAGAGAGAGAGAAGATACCTGCTCTTATAGGAGGGTGGCCCTTGTAACAAAAACATACCCAGTAGGACAGGTGCTTCCTGCTGACCTGCCAGATGGGGAGAGACAGGTTGGGTGACATTTTCCTGACTGTACACATCTGCTCCAGCGTGAAACCCAAAGGAGGAAATCACTATTGGGTGTCAGAGCCTGAGATGATTTCAGGAATAACGCTCATGGCTCTCCAGAGTAGAGTGTTGGATATAAGAGCCCTTCCGGACGCCACACTTACTGCCAGCCTTGGGAAGGACCACACCCAGGTGGTACAAGCAGAGCAGAATGTCCCAGTGTCATCTTTTACAATGAAGGGAGGATTCCTAAGGGGTGTTCCTTTTGATCTGAGCCCCAAACCTGAAGGAGTAGGTTGTAACTGAAACCTAAGATGAAATGTAGAACAGAATTTCCAGGCTGCAGAAGCATTTAGAGGAATTTGGGAGGATCCTCTTCCCTTTAGTCTCCATCAACACAGATTTCAGGTTCCCCAAGCCACCACCTGGACACGTATGAAGGGACTCCTAAAATCCTCAACACTGCAGGGCTCCTCCAACTGGAATTCTGCAACACTGCAAAGCAGATATTTCAAAATCCAGCAGTTAAGATGTAATGCTAGGAACCCATTCTTATAGCTTCTCAATGTGAAACTTGTGAACTTGGTTTTAAAGCATTTGTGACAGAATGGACAATTCTTTCTAGAAAGTTAAGGTTTTAAACAAATTCTTCTGGAAAATGAGGGGATTGAACTGGATATCTCATACCTCAAAGCTCAAACTATCATGTTTTAAACATTTTTGACATCTTTACAGGTGGAATTGAGTTTGTCCACTTGCAAAGTGGATTAGATTTCCTGTTTGGAGTTTACAGTTGACAAAAGATTCTCTCTTTGACCAAACTCTAGTTGGGCTCCTTGAGTCCTCTTCTCAATTTGTCCTCAACTTTGGCCTATAAAGACATGAACAAGTGCTACATAGTTTCAAACAGCTCAAGGCTACATTCCTGGAATGACCCTAGGTCCCTTTAAAGTGCCTGCCTGAGAAAACTCAAGGCTGCCAAAAGAATTTACCGTTTGTTCCAGCGAACACCTGAAGACAAGGCCTTGTCTCCTAGCCTCTGTTGGCAGGGTAGGAGCCTAACTCCAATAAGCACCAGTTAGCAAGCCTAGATGGGTCTCATATGGACTGGTCCCCTCCCTTCCCATTTTTTGTAATTTTTTCACTTTGCAGACTCTTCTTAGGCACCTGCAATTCTTCCCTGCCCCACTGCCCCCCAGTTCATTTTCTCTTTAAAAAGCCCGGTGACCTCTCTATGAATCTGAAGGGAACTCAGCTCTTTCCCCTACTGTCAATAGTTATTCGGTAGTGTTTTCACTGCTTTAACTAAAGTCTGACTGTGCTTATCTTTGACATGATAAAAATAATCTCTCAACATTTTTTTATGTTACTATTATAACCCCAGGGATGGCAGGCAGGGGGCGGGGACATCTTCAGTCATTCAGCATATCTTGAGCTCTCTCTGTGTGCTTTGGCACTGGGCTGTGGAGGAGCAGTAATTATGCCACTGGAGTAAAAAGAGTGATGCATGTAATAAATAGCAAAGTAAGAGGCTAAATTGTGATTCAATATGAAAGGAGTAGCATGGGTAATTACTGTATGAGTTACAGGAGGTAAATGGAGGGACCTCATTAAGTGAGATAATATATGTAAACACTGGAACAAGGTAAGCACTAAATAAATGTCAGCTATTATTCATATTTACTATGGAGGTGGGATTTAAGCTAGGTGTTGAGATTATGGAGGAGCTGTTCATTCATTCATGCTTCATTCATGAAGCATATTTTAAAGGCATTTGTCAAGCACTGTAATAGACATTGAGGATAAGAGACAAGACAGTGGGGTTGGGGTTCCAGCCCTTATGGAGCTTCCATTCTGTCGGGGGAAAGTGGAAGGACAATAAACAAATTGTTCTCAGTGCTTAGATGAAGTGACGTCAGGTTGAGACCTGAAGGGTAAAAAAGCCAGCCACACAGAGCTAAGCAAAGAGCATTTTAGGCAGCAGTCAAAGCAAGGGCCACTGTGTGGAGACAGCAAAATGCTTTCCTGTTCAAGGAACAGAAGAGAGAGTGGGGAGAATGGTTGCATATGCAATGGAGAGATAGGCAGGAGGCAGATCCAAGGAACTTTGTAGGCCATGGTTGGTTTGGATTTTAGTCTTAGTCTCACTCTATGTGAAAAGGGTACTGTGATACAGTGATGGAGTGGGAGCAGGGCAAAGGCAGAAGGATGGGCGAGTCATGTTCCTGGGCAAGCCAACACTGCAGAGGGAGCCAACACTGCCAACACAACTGACTGGAGAGGGAGGCTGCAGTGGAAGCCAGCTGGAGGCCAAGATTTTAGCCAAATTCTGAAGGACTTGAGCTAGCTTCTACCTGTATTCCCTGTAAACAACGGGGGTTGTTAATTATTCATCAGAGGAATGATTTAATGAATTTAAAAATTGTAGTCAGGCTGGATGTGGTGGCTTACCCCTATAATCTCAATACTTTGAGAGGCCAAGGAGGGAGGATTGCTTGAGCCCAAGAGTTCAAGACCAGCCTGGGGAACATAGAGAAACCCCATGTCCACAAAAAAGAAAAATATCAGCAGGGCGTGGTGGTGCACACCTGTAGTCCCAGCTACTCAGGAGGCTGAGGTGGGAGGGTCGCTTGAGCCCAGGAATCTGAACTTGCAGTGAGCTGTAGTTATGCCACTGCATGCTAGCCTAGACAACAGAGCAAGACTCTGTCTCAAAAAAATAAAAGAGAATTGTAGGTATACCTGCCACATCTAATGTACTATGGTGGGGGGTACAAAAATGTGTAAGAAGTATTCTCAATCCAATTTACTAAATCTATCCTAAAAATTGTGTCTTACGGATATTCATCAACTGGTGGTGAAGAAACTAGAATAAGAAAACATTTCTGGGTCTAATGCAGTGGGCCTCATCTGTATCACTTGTCCTCCTGCCTCCTTAGCAATCTTGCTCAATCCCCTATGATGTCATCCTCCCTCTCTCTCTGGCTTCCCCTTGGCCCATAAGCATGCTCTCCTGCTCTCTTTAACCTCATCCAAACTTTCCAAAAACAGCTTCTCTGAAGACCCCCTTCTCCCCTTTAACTACTGCCCTCCAGCTCACTCTCATCTCCTTTCAAAGAAAAGCTCCTTGAAAGAGTCCTAAATGCTTCCCATCTACACTCCTCTGTGGTGGGTCTCTAATTCAACCTACCATAATTTGGCTTATTTTGGTCTTCAACCCACCCCACGACAGCCCACCACTTGACTGACATTGCTTTCCTAAGACTCACAATAACCTTAGCAGATTCAAATTCAATGAATACTTTTCTTTCCTTATCATTCTGTATCTTTTTTTCCCCTAATTTACTAGTTTTTGATGTTGATTTGACACATTTTCTCTCTGTCCCACCTTGGCTTCCTAATGGGTTTTTTCACCTTTTACGTTTCCCTTCTACTACCTCTGTTTCTTCCTTCTCAGTGTCCTCTTCTGTTGTTTATCTCTTACATGTTGATGTTCCCCAAGGTTCAATCTCCTGCTCATTTCCCGTCTTACCCTATGTACTTTCTCTGAG